GGCGGGGCGGGACGGGACAGGACAGAAGTGCTCCCTGCGCCCTCGGATCCCGCGGGCCTAAATGAAAAGCTGGGCCTTGTTTTTCTCGGTACTGCGCGGTGTGGAGGTGCAGCTGGGAAGGGCTGGCGTTTTCCAGAATCTTTCGTCTTCCCAGAGTGTCCTGAAAGGTCTCAGGCTTAGTGTTAAAGGTTGGAGGTCGCCTGGCAGAGCAGCTGTCAAGAGCTGTTGCGGGGCGCAGGTTTTTCTGTCCTGAGGGAAGGGTAGCGTAAGTACGTGAAGCAGTATTTTGCAAACGCGAGGGAAAACCGGCTTCTGTTTCATTTGGTGGCACAGTTTCCTTGTGTTCTTTTAGCTTTGTCTCCTAAACGGGAAAGCCTAGATCTGTTATCTGCCTTTTCTTATAGGCTAGTGTTGTGACTGACGCTTGTTCTGCCGGAATCGTGGTTAGGGGTCTCTCTGTTGCGTGTTTGGTGTTTACAGGGTTGTGACGTTTGAGTACTTTGATATAGTGTTGGAGGTCGTACATCTAAGTTGATTCAGTGGCCCTGTGGTAGAGATGAAACTGTATCCAATTTACCCAATTTATTCTTTATTGTGTACCCAATTTATTCTTTATCTGTCTCTTTCTTGCAGTAATAAGTGTGAAACGTTCCCATTGGCTACACGGCACAACATCGTGTGTGTGGGGCTCTCTCCAGATGGAAGTCTTGCCATACTAATTGATGAAGGTATTTGCATAAAGGAGGTATTTGCTTTCCAACAGCGTGAAATAAAAATATGCTCTGAAGAGGAAAGCCTGTATTGCTAGGTACTCAGCCTTAAATGAAAAAACACTCTGTTTTAAAAATTGCGTTAGAATCTGAGAAAAGTGTCTTTATTTACAGAACCTATTTTTTTAAAATGTAACTCAGAATTCTGATTGTATTTTTCTTTCTAAGTGTTGAGCACGCTGTCTTGAAAAGTTTCTGAGAAAGCACTTTCTCTTTTCAGAAATTAAAAGGTAAACTTGCTAGGGTTCTCATTTCTTTGGGAACGGAATAATTTCCATAATCTTTTCTTTTCTACCCTTACAGAGGGAGCTGCCTTGCTTGTCAGTTTAATCGGTAAATCTGTAATACATCACTTCCATTTTCACAAGCCAGTGCACAGTGTCTGCTTTTCCCCTGATGGCAAGTAAGTGACATGCACGTGTTTTAGAACAAACCAAGAGAAGTCACCTCATAAACTAGTTGTAATTAATTAAAAGAGTCTGACTAATTAGGGAATGATATTTGTTAATTCATATAGATGAGTTTTCAAGCTGAGCCAGGGCCAATATTTCTGTGGAAGCTTAGAGGGGAAGAGGAGAGGAGTAGTGAAGCTTGGGAAGTAGACCCTGGCTAGAAACTTGCCTTTCACAGGTGCTCTCTACAGAGGAACGCTTAGAAGCTTTACTGTATCTCCTGACCATTCTTCCATGTTTGGGGAAGGTGTAAGAGCCCGCTTTGGAGCAGTCAGTGGTGCAATGTTGTGTGAAGGCACTCACGGCGGTGCAGTTCACTGCTGACTTGGGTTAGTGTGAAGTCGTGCCCCTGAAAGGGACGTCCTTTTGTAAACGGAGGGCCTTTCATGTTCCTTGTGTCGTGGCTGCACGGTCACTGAGCAAAGTGTGGCAGCATAAATGTTAGATGTGACAGAGTGGTGAGAGAAAAAAGTGCAGAGTGCTCGTTTTGGCACCAGCCCTCAATGTGATTGACTTAAGATGATTGTGAAACCACAGGATCAGTTTTTGCTTAAACGTTGAAAATAAAAAGTACTATATTGTTAGAGAATTATATTGGTAATAGGGCCAGATTAGAGGATTTGGGTAATAGGGATGCAGATGCTTTGTGTCAGTGAAAGTGGCTAATATATGGAGATTAAGACACGTGATGAAACAGAATATCTCATTTTAGATGCTTAAATATTTCCTTCTATTATAAGAATTCCTTTATAAACATTTTGTTATTTGACCTAAATCATTTTACTTAGTTTTCTGTTGCAGTGTAATACATGAACTGTATCTGTATTCATGAAATTGAGGGATAATATCAGCCGGTAAATAATTTAGGTTTTTTAATTCTAAAGAAAGCTATTCTTTAATTCTAAAGAAAGGTTTTCTAAAGAAAGCTGTTGTTATCCCTTAACACAAAACCCTTTTTCATATAGCTTTGTTTCATTTTACTGCAGTGCGTACTGAACAATTGTTTTAACAGATTTGTGTGCAATTCTGTTTCCCCCTCTCCCCCCATGTGATAGGAAATTTGTGATTACAAAAGACAACGTTGCTCTTATGTACCATGCTCCTGGGAGAAAAAGAGAATTTAATGCATTTGTTCTGGACAAAACTTACTACGGTCCATATGATGAAACAACATGTATTGACTGGACCGATGATTCCAAGTAAGTTGTTAAACTAAAGCACTACCTACTGTTTCCTGTTGTTAATATTGTTGTATGCATGTTTTAGTCCATTTTCTTTGTTCTAAGGTGTTGTACTACCTGTAAAAATCCGTTTTGACGTTTCCATTTCTCATTGTCTCTTGAATTAAAAAATATGATCAGACAGACTAGAAAGGATAAAAATATACGTTCTTCCTTGAAAACGCCCAGTTAAGGGTGAACATGGTTGACCCTCTGAACGTAATTAATCTAATATACCTCTGCTAGAATTGCCAGCTTTAGAACTCTGTTGGGTGTAGAATTGCTGTGTAAGCGGATGACTGGTGTCTTTGCGTTTAGAATGTTCTCTGCTCAGTGAAAAGTCTTGCAAACCAGCGCTCTAATCAAAAGTGTCTTTTGTTTTGCAGATGTTTTGCTATAGGGAGCAAGGACATGTCAACGTGGGTGTTCGGAGCAGAGCGATGGGCAAACTTGATCTATTACTCGCTTGGAGGGCATAAGGATACAATAGTAGCGTGTTTTTTTGAAGAGCACAGTTTAGATGTATGTACATAATCACACCAAGTTCTTAAATTTTAATGTTAAAGTAGTTGTAGCTGTGTCATTTATCTGTAGACAAGGATGCTGCATTCCGGGTTACTATTTTGATAATATCCCAGAAATTAGAAGAAACTTAGGTAATATCTCTTGACTCATCTGCTTTGATCAGGAGTCTACAGATTTAGTTTCAAGGACTACTTTTACGTGAACGTTCAAAGAAGTAAACGTTAAAGGAAGAGGAGAGTGAGTTATTGAAAATTACTCCAGAGAAAAAGTTATCATTTTAAATAAACAAAAAAAAATAGTTAGCTGTAATTCAGAAGCTGGCTACCAAATTGCCTTCTGTCTTTTCGGAATTCACTGAAGGCAGAGGAGAATAAATCCAGGACAAATGAGTTCATTTTCCAAATCAAAGTGTCTGCGATGCTAGAGCACTAAGTAAAACGTCATCCCAGTGACAGAATGCAGACTGGCTGCCCCTTCTACAGTTCTATTTTTATTACAGCAGGGTAGCAGATTATGACGCGTAGATATTGCGTGATCGTAGTAGGTTTATGTGTTTATATTCTAGCTGTACACAATTAGCCAGGATGGGGCACTGTGTGTGTGGCAGTGTGATACAGAGCTGGATGGTCTGAAGCCCATGCTCCCTAAAGATGAAACTAAGGAAAAGAGTAAAGCAAAAGAAGATGAAGAGTTTACTGAAGAACCTCTGGGTGAAGAAATTCGTGGGAAAGCCAATCCAAACGAGCAAGAGACTAGAGATAAAGTTAAATATTCTCGTGTCGCAAAGTAAGTGATTTACATTTTTCGAAAGACAAAATTATTATGGAGATTTATTATATTGGGCTTTTTTCATCCTCTGTCCCTCTGTTGAAGTGGTATAAAACATGACTCAGGTTTTAGTAATTCACTATAAATCTCATTATAGATGGTTTCAGTAGAAGGAGCTGTTTGTCTTACCTGGAGTATATGAAGGGCAATAACCTTCAGCTTCAGAATAACAACTCAAGTGTTACCTTTTAATCATACAGGAAATACTGACTTAGGGTGTATGTTTTAGTGTATCTTCTAGCTAAGCCTGGAGGCTGTGAGTTTTCGCACAAAGCGATGGGTTAACTTCAAGAGGTGACAGCAGCATTTGTTAAAGATATGTAATCAGCCTGTTCCTGTCATACGTAAAGGTGCCTTTCTGAAGGGCCTCTCTAGCTGTTCACATCAGGAGATACATATCTTAGAGAGAATGACTGAGCCTGTTAAGGTAGTCACAACATTTTGCCTTGCTTGAAGAAGGCTAGCCTTCATTGTCTCTTTAGTTAGCGGAGTGAAGGGGAGATGGGATGCTTTCGCGGGCTTCTGTCCTCAGTCTCTCTCTGTTGACTGTAAAGAAAGCCGAAAGAAAGTACCCTGCCCCGGCTGGAATGAGCCTTTTTGAACATTCCTTTCAGAGAGTAAAGCAATTTTGGAGTATATAACAGCTGTACAATGCTCAGATGCTCTTTTGTTTGACCATCATGTGATGCTTATCTGTTTAATTCCACTAAAAGCTACAGATACGAAGAAAACGAGGAAGAACTTCACCACCAGGCGTTCACCACAGTGTTTATGACTCTAGTTCTTCAATTACTTAATCTGCAGGAGAGCTTAAATATGCAAGGATAACCACTGAATTTTAAAGCCACAGATGTTGGCATTAGATGACAAAAAGGAGATCCACAGTGTAGTTCCTATGTGGTTAACCTTAAGTGCCTTTCACTGCAAGTCGTCAGGTGTCACTTCTGATAGATTAGATTAATTTACTGTAGCCATTGTAAGCATTCAGGGAAGGGAAAAGAAAATAATTAGTTTTTCTCTAGCAACGTAAAATTCATTCAGCGATTCCCAGAACTACTGCTCTTTAGCTTTATTGTAGGACACTTCCAGAATATTTGCCCTGTATTGAAAGGCAACTACAACAGCATACTTTTCTTTCACATTTAGTTCACTGCTTGCTTTCTATTTTTTTGATGCACAGGTATTTTTTTAATAAAGAGGGTGATTTTAATAACCTGACATCTGCAGCTTATCACAAGAAAACACACCTTTTAGTCACCGGTTTTGCCTCTGGAATCTTCCACCTCCACGAGCTTCCAGATTTCAATCTGATCCATTCCTTGAGGTGAGGTGATGGTTTGTGTGTGTGTGTTTGTGAGGGGGTGAGGGGAGTGTGAGAACACATGATGTTTACCAGTGAAGGATGAATATCAGAGTACAAAAATCTTTAACGTGAGCATCTGTTTAGTATCGTAATTGCATTTCTGGAAATGCAGAAATGTTGTAGTTCAAGAAAAGCAATAATAATTGAAAGACTTATGTAATAAATGCCATACCAACTGCGTTCCATAGCTTATTACAGAAAAGCAAGGACCGAATAGAAACTCCTGATTAATTGTTGGCCACAAATTTCCTTAAAGCTTTAGACGCTTCACTGTCTGATGTCAGTTTCTGTATAGCAAATAAAAATAATAGTGAAAAAAATTGTTTATATGTGAAATTATCTGCAAATTGCCTCCAAGTTGAAAAATGACACTTTTTTTCCTATCCCTGTATGAAGCTAGCTAAAGAATGCATAATTTCCCTTTATGAAAAAATAGATTTTTCTGGAATGTGAGGAGTTTTAATTTGTACTGGCAAGTATTTCTTTATCTGGGATTGAGATACGCTTTCTTCCTTCCAAACAAGATAGTATCTTTTTTTTTTGATGTCCTTGAGTATGAGAAAGGATAGAATTGTTTGCTGCTTTTGATTTTACAGAGATAGAGAAAGTCAGTAAAGTAATCAAAGATCTTGCTTGAACAGAGGAAATCAACTCTAGTTTCTCAAAACTTATTATGCAGAGTTTGAAAATGCAAGTGTATTTATTGAGTGATTCTTTTACTTCCAGTATTTCAGATCAACGGATAGCTTCTATTTCTATTAACTGTACTGGTGACTGGATTGCCTTTGGATGTTCAGGTTTGTAAATTGGTTGGTCTGTATTCATGGAAAAAAATAGAAATGCTGCCGGTATGAAAGCCCAAGTTCATCTCGCCCGCCTTGATTCCAAATATTAATGTTTTGTTAATACTTTAGATCTCATCTCTGTAGTATCTGAATACAGTAAAGCATATATCCCTAATGAATTTTCCCTCGCAGAAGTCATGTGATCCAGGGAAATACTTTGTTGACAAGGAATAAAAGAAAAAGGAAATGATTACTCTGAGACCATATATGAATATTAGAATAAAGCTCATATCCTTGGAGTATAACTTAGTGTAGTTTATAATATGCTCTCATTCCGGGCACAGTTTCTCTTCCCTGGTTGCTGCTTCTTGTATGTGGCATTTTACAAAGCCAGCATTTCTATTCCAGCCCTGCCTGTAATGGTTTGCGTTGCAACCAAGACTGTGCTTTTATAAGCAGTCCTGTTTCTTTTTCCAGCTCGTGTGTTAAAGGAAAAAAAATAAAGGAGATGGTAGATTCTTAATTTTTAATACCTCTTGAGCTTGAGAAATGAAGAATGGGAGAGCCTGAGGGTTGTCTTGGGTATTCAGTGTAGTGACCAGTTGGTGAGGCCAGTTGACAGTCGGATCGGTCAGATCAATTTTGGTTTGCATTAAATATTTTAGATTAAAAATAGTCTGAAAATCAAGCTTTATATTTTTGGCACATTTCTAGTTTTGACCGTTTATCAGTGTCTGTTTGCTAGCAAAATGAGTTGATAGCACTGCTCTTGTAGAATTGAGGATGTTAAGTCAAGTGACAACTCCTGGTTGTTGAGGAAAACGTTAAGTTGAACTTTAAAAGAAAATGATTTGTGTTAGGTTTGATTAGGTTGCATAGCGCAGCATGACTGCATCAACCTTTTTTGTGTTGTGTGCAAGTAAGTGTTTTGTGGCTTATATTTGCTCGGTCCCATCAGTGGTTTCATAATTTTGGCTAATTCGTCTTTTGTGTTTACAGGTCTGGGTCAGCTCCTGGTATGGGAGTGGCAAAGTGAGTCTTATGTGTTGAAGCAGCAGGGCCATTTCAACAGCATGGTCTCGTTAGCATATTCTCCAGACGGACAGTACATAGTAACTGGAGGGGAAGATGGGAAGGTAAGTGAGACAATATTATTAAAACATGAGCTTAAGTCCTTAAAAACATAGAAAACGGCTTGAATTCCCGTTCTACGTAGAGAGCTGTTGCAGTAACTGATATGAATTTGTATTAATTTTGTTCTCATTTTTCTTAATTTTTTTGATTCTTTTTTTCTCTCTACAGCATATGTATTTTAACTTACTATTGATATCCTCTGCAGATTGCATCACTTATGCTTTTTAGCAGATAATTCTTTAGTGATTGCAGATTTAGTCACCATAAGCACAGAAAAATGTCAATTCATCTGTATTTATTTACCTGTTTGTGGTAGTTCTGTGATATATCAGGATGCATGAAGTTCAGTTACCCAAATTCAGCGCTGTTAGTGGTTGGTTTTGGTGTGAAATTCTTACTAAGTTCTTTATAATAAAGTTCAGTTTCTTAGCATTTTTTTTCTGAAATATACTATTGCAGAAGCTTACTATTTAGCAGAAAAATTAGCTTGTCATGGATGGCTTGTCTTGAAGTGGTAGGTTAGGCATACAGTTACTGTTTTTATTCTGAAAGAAGATTTGTTGTAGAGTAATACTGGGATCTCTTGCAATGTAATTGTAACAAATACATGGCATCTCTTGACCTCCAGTTTTGATTGGGATGCACTCTCTCATAGTTTTTGCCATTCAGATTTAAAACTGGCCAAAACTCAGAATTCTCAAATTGCAGATAGGTAAACTCTGAACCTTTTTTTTTTTTTTTTGGAAAAAGATTGAAATAATATTGTCCTTTGAACTTTCTGGAAGGCTTCACAGTTGGTTTTGACTTTGAGTGTCTTAGCCATGGACAGTCCAAAGTATGGGAGCCTGAGATGCCCAGCAAGTGCTATAGTACTATAATTTTCCTTGAAAATTAACTTTGTTTCAAAAAATTTTTGACTGTCAGATGTTCATGTTGTATATGTGTCTTTAGGGGTTTAATGATAAAGTATGGCTTTTTGGCAGGCTGGAT